ATGGGAATAACTTTCTCTGTCCTTAATAATACCATCCTGCAACACAGTAGGCCACAATTTTTGCATCACTTATGAAACAATATCAACAATGTTCAGTTGGTACCTCAGAGAAGTGTGTGTGTAAAACTAATTAGGATGTTTTGTGGAAGATAAGCCCCTGCGAAGCAGCAGATCTAAGAATCTAAAAACTGAGGATGGAGTCTGATTGACTTTATCTTTGCACACTCAGTCTCCCTACATTTAGTCCCAAGGGGACAAAAATAACATTGCCAGTCGGTGATGGCTGATAGGAAAAGCTCAGAAAATTAAGTATTTCATGAAGCATACTGTGTGTCATTAGCAGGGTATATTCTGTTCCACGCCCCATACAGTGAAAGTAATGCCGCTGAAGTGGATCTCACGCGGGCTCAGTAAGGTGTGAAATGAACCACCGCTGATTAGGCTGCTCTTTTTTTGCGAAAGTATCTTCATGTGTGGTTATCAGCAGACCAGCAAGAGGACATTTTCTCAGGCTGGGGTTGATGTGCCACGTTACCCGTTCACACAGGCCTGATGTCACAGTGACTCTCCTCTGCGAGAGATGTCTGTGACAGTGATTGAGCATGTATAATTAGGTTTCCACCACTGAAGAGAAGACAAACAAGAAAATTAGATGAATTATTTGACGTAGTTTTGGTTTGGTGAAAAAGTGATTTATAGAACACTGAGATGATTTTATCAGTCATTTTGTCACTGTTAGATTCACAGGCAGGAGTTTCACGAGATTTAGGTTTCCTTCCCTCACTAGAGAGCCTCTCTTTGAAGGCAAATGAGCTGCTGAAGGGCGTGTTGTCTTTCCAGTGAATAGCACTCAATTACTTTTTCCTAGTTTATTCAAGCAGTTTATCTAGACGGTAGCGTTCAGCTTTCAGGAAGGTTTTTGTTGAAGTTTACGTAACTCTAAGGCTTCTGCTATCATGTTTTCTTTCCTAATCAAGGTTTTTTAATACTCCACCAAATGAATGCTGCTATCCAGTGTTTTCCCCTTTCAGGGATTAAGTTCGATTTTGCAGAAATCCATAAAAGTGATTGACTTATCATGAACTGTGATATAACGGTAAATGGCCTGTATTTGTATAGCACCTTCTTAGAGGTGTACAATCCCCCCACCCCCCCCGGGGAGTCTGCCGAACAGTGGCTCTCCAGTCCCTCCGAACACCACAAGCAGGCAAGGTGGGTTAAGTGTCTTGCCCAAGGACACAACAGCAGTGGGAGCTGGGATTGAACCTGCAACCTTGGAAAACTGGGAAACCCACTCTACGTCCTGAGCTACTGCTACACAATGTAGGCAAGATGTCTTTCTGTTATGCTAATCCCGCCCCCGTCCCGTAGAGCTGCATGAACTGAGTGCCATGAGCACGAACCAATAGCGTTAGACTGCTGCTTATGTACAGACATCAATCACAGTGTACTCAAGTGTTTAAGGACGTGCCTCGATTGATACAGAGTTGGCAACCTTTCTTGTGGACTAGTCTTTAAAATATAAATATAGGAAAACACAACATGAGCCTAATAATGGTAAAATATGGTGTTTTAGCTCTATCTCGTCGGCTAGAGGAGCACATTCAGGAAAATGAGTCGTTGCTTTCGGCCGTGAATAAAAAACGTCTTGGTGTGATACGCTTGTCAGCCACTAAACAAACGGTGGCTTTACATTAGAAAACTATTTTTATTTTTCATTGTTCAGAAATTAAATGTGTCAAGTAATTCTTAAATATTCAGAATCCTTTTGTTTCTGTGATTGGAGTTTTCTCAGAGTCCCACTCAGAACAAAGCAGAGCATTGAGCTGGAGTGTGGGGACTAAAGTCCTTGTGAAAGTGACAGAGAAGAAGGTTGAGGTGGACAGATCCCTGAGAGAGCGAGGAAGGCTGGAGGAAGCATGCTAATTAGTTCAGTAAGAGTGTGTGTGTGTGTGTGTGTGTGTGTGTGTGTGTGTGTGTGTGTGTGTGCGTGCGTGTGTGATGGCAGTGTTTTTTAGCTTTGCACTCACAGCTGGAACTGATTGTTCAACTAACAACCTGAGTCTCAGGCCGTGTCCACACGTAGCCGGGGATCTGCCAAAACGTCGATATTTTTCTACGTTTTGGTCTGTCATCCACACGAAAATAGAGTTTTTTCACACGAAAACGGATCTTTTTAAAAACTCCGGCCAACGTGAAGATCTGCGTTTTCTCCGTTTTGGGTGTCTGCGTGTGGACATACAAAACCGGAGTTTTAAGGTCCGCAACGTCACTTTCCGCGACAAAAAAAATGCTGACATCACGTGTGCGACCTGTGTTTACACTAGCCGACAGCATGGATGCCCTCAGAGCTGCGCTCGCTTTATCAATTGTCCAAGCGCTTTTTGCTTGTTTGTTTTTGCAAGCAGAATTACTGCTCCTTGCGGAAGACCACAGACGAAGGACGAGGTTAAGAACGGGGGAAGTACTGCCGCCTACAGGTCTGGCATGTCCTTAACAACGTATTTATCCGGGTACGTGTGGACAGTTTATTTTTTAAATGAGGTCGTGTGGATGCAAGTTTTTGGAGGGGCGGATATTCTTCGTCTTCGTCTTCCTCCACTTATCCGGGTCCGGGTCGCGGGGGCAGCATCCCAATTAGGGAGCTCCAGGCCGTCCTCTCCCCGGCCTTGTCCACCAGCTCCTCCGGCAGGACCCCAAGGCGTTCCCGGACCAGATTGGAGATGTAACCTCTCCAACGTGTCCTGGGTCGACCCGGGGGCCTTCTGCCGGCAGGACATGCCCGAAACACCTCCCCGGGGAGGCGTCCAGGAGGCATCCTGACCAGATGCCCAAACCACCTCAACTGGCTCCTTTCGATCCGGAGGAGCAGCGGTTCTACTCCGAGTCCCTCCCGAATGTCCGAGCTCCTCACCCTATCTCTAAGGCTGAGCCCGGCCACCCTACGGAGGAAACTCATTTCGGCCGCTTGTATCCGCGATCTCGTTCTTTCAGTCATTACCCAAAGCTCATGACCATAGGTGAGGATTGGGACGTAGATCGGCCGGTAAATCGAGAGCCTGGCTTTCTGGCTCAGCTCCCTCTTCACCACGACAGATCGGCTCAGCGTCCGCATCACTGCAGACGCCGAACCAATCCGCCTGTCGATCTCCCGATCCCTCCTACCCTCACTTGTGAACAAGACCCAGAGATACTTAAACTCCTCCACTTGAGGTAGGACCTCTCCCCCGACCCGGGGTTGGCAAGCCACCCTTTTCCGGTCGAGAACCATGGTCTCAGATTTGGAGGTGCTGATCCTCATCCCAGCCGCTTCACATTCGGCCGCGAACCTACCCAGCAACAGCTGAAGGTCAGAGCTGGATGAAGCTAGGAGGACCACATCATCCGCAAAAAGCAGAGACGAGATTCTCCTGCCACCAAACTCGACACACTCCACACCACGGCTGCGTCTAGAAATTCTGTCCATAAAAGTGATGAACAGAACCGGTGACAAAGGGCAGCCCTGGCGGAGTCCAACCCTCACTGGGAACAGGTCCGACTTACTACCGGCTATGCAGACCAAACTCACGCTCCTCTGGTAAAGGGACTGAATGGCCCTTAACAGAAAGCCACCCACCCCATACTCCTGGAGCGTCCCCCACAGGGTGCCCCTGGGGACACGGTCATAAGCCTTCTCCAAATCCACAAAGCACATGTGGATTGGTTGGGCAAACTCCCATGCCCCCTCCATCACCCTTGCAAGGGTATAGAGCTGGTCCACAGTTCCACGGCCAGGACGAAAACCACATTGCTCCTCCTCTATCTGATATTCAACTATCGATCGGACCCTCCTCTCCAGTACCATGGCGTAGACCTTTCCAGGGAGGCTGAGGAGTGTGACCCCCTATAGTTGGAACACACCCTCAAGTCACCCTTCTTAAAGATGGGGACCACCACCCCGGTCTGCCACTCCGTAGGAACTGCCCCCGATGACCACGTAATGTTGTAGAGACGTGTCAACCATGACAGCCCTACAACATCCATAGCCTTGAGATACCCAGGACGAACCTCATCCGCCCCCGGGGCTCCGCCGCTGTGTAGTTGTTTGACTACCTCAGCAACTTCTGCCCCCGAGATTGGACAGTCCATCCCCAGGCCTCCCAGCTCTGGTTCCTCCTCGGAATGCGCATTGGTGGGATTGAGGAGCTCCTCAAAGTATTCCTTCCACCGTCCGACTATAGCCTCAGTTGACGTCAGCAGCTCCCCATCCCCACTGTAAACAGTGTGAGCGAGTTGCTGCCTTCCTCTCCTGAGGCGCCGGACAGTTTGCCAGAACCTCTTTGGAGCTGATCGATAGTCTTTCTCCATGGCCTCACCAAACTCCTCCCACGCCCGAGATTTTGCCTCGGCAACTGCCACTGCTGCACCCCGCTTGGCTATCCGGTACCTGTCTGCTGCCTCCGGAGACCCACAGACCAGCCACGCCCTGTAGGCCTCCTTCTTCAGCCTGACGGCTCCCCGAACCTCTGGTGTCCACCAGCGGGTACGGGGGTTGCCACCACGACTGGCACCGGCCACCTTACGACCACAGCTAGCAACAGCCGCCTCGACAATCGCAGAGTGGAACAAGGCCCACTCGGACTCAATGTCCCCCACTGCTCTCGGGACGTGGTCAAAGCTCTGCCGGAGGTGGGAGTTGAAGACCGTCTTGACAGGTTCTTCTGCCAGGCGTTCCCAGCAGACCCTCACTATGCGTTTGGGTCTGCCAAGTCTACGCGGCATGTTCCCTTGCCATCTGATCCAACTCACCACCAGGTGGTGATCAGTTGACAGCTCCGCCCCTCTCTTCACTCGGGTGTCCAAAACATACGGCCGCGGATATTCGTTTTTTAAAAAACCCCGGCTACGTGTGGACTAGGCCTCAGTCTAAAAAAGAAAGGTTAAAACCTCCACATCCAAACAAAATGCATTTAATGTCTAAAATCCTGACTGTTCTCATGCACGCTTTTGTTTTTCTTCAGGTTCACAGAGTTCCTGGATCCTTTTGAGAGAGTTATACAACCCGAGGAGCTCTGGCTCTACAAGAATCCTCTTGTGGAATCAGATCACATTCCCAAGAGGGTCATGTTTGTAAGTACCTGCTGTCTTTTATTAGAAATGCAATTGCTTCTTAACACCTGCTCATTTTTCTACAAGAGTCACATGCTGTGGTTAATTGTTCACTTTGTACGATGCACAATTTAAGATAAAGTTTTCCCCTGAGTAGATCCGATTGTCATGAAATTCCTTCTGTATTTTGTGGGATTAAAAAAAAAACTTTTTTCTTTAAATACAGACAATGCCACTTAGATGCAATTATGCAGCAATGACACAAACTTTGTACTCTTTAAATATGGATTAAAAAAGCTATTTGCAGTACATTTGCAATGTGCCTTGTGAGTCATACTCTGGAGAAAAAAGCTCCGGTGCACTAGTTTCAGGAACTACAAGTGAGCCACACCAGAGTTAAGCTTCAGACAGCAGGATTTGGAATTTTATTTTCTGATTTTTGGACATCTCACCTCGGATTTGCTAACAACAACGTGACTCGACCACTGACACCGTTTGTGCTGCAACGTTGGTTTCCTCTCCACAAACAACGTAAGCCTGGAGGAGTTCTGCTGTGTGGCGGATTAGCTAATGCTAATGGTTAGCTTCCACTAGCAGAGATGTTCTCTGGTGTTTCCTGGACGCTAAACCAGCAACAGCCTTCCCCGTCATGAGCCAAGATGGGTGAATCCATGAATGTTTAGTGACAGTGTGACGTAGATCTGTCCGGATTTTCTAATCCTAGAGTTTCACCGTCTGTTTTCTATCAGAAGCTGATGCAGGAGATAGGTGTAGGAGACTATTTTCATGTTCAGCCTGCATGTAAAACACAGAGTAACCCATTAGAATCAGAAATAATCATAAAAAATGGATTTTCTGTCAACCACACCTTCGAAGGAAATAAACTTTGAATGCAGCAGTTCATTTCTTCAAGTTGTGTCTAAACATGAAGTAATAAAGTGTATTTTGTAGAGATGTCTGGTTATTTACGCTTTTAATGATACAGCCTTTACATACCAAATATTGACATCCGTCAAACTCTTCAGGTACTTTTTCATTTCTCTTAAAATGTCCAAATATAACACGTCTTAAAAGTTTTCCTGATATTCTTGTTTGTTTTGCACAACTGGCCCAACTTAACTCAAAGTAGTGTTCATGTTTTGCAAAGATAATGCTGAAATGGTAAGTTTTCACCTACATATTGACCCACATGCCTCCAGTCATCTGCAGACTCAATTCCATTCTCTAAAGTGGATTTTACATATCTTCCAACAAGCCAGAAGATTCTGCAGTCCTTGTTGACATTTCAGGGGGACAAGATGTCAGCCTGTGTTCCCAAACAAAGCCTTCTTTTGACAACACAGCAGGATTGCACACTCTCATGAAAGAAGAACTTTTACAACTCATAAGTTAAATAATCACTAAATAATAATATGGTTGAATGAACAAATGTTATATGAATACTAAAATTAATGTTTGATTAATCTGTGCCTAATTCAATGAAGTTGAATTTTAATACTACAATGAAACATTTTGATGTTATGATCAGTACTGTTTGGTTTAACAAGTGAATCATCATCTACACTCATACACAATGTTCATGAGATATAAATTAAAGTTAATGTCATTAAACATTACACAGTCTGACTCTGCTCTGAACCGGAGTTTCCATCACTCTCTTCTTCCTCTCCCCTGGCCGACAGCCAGAGGAGCGGCTTATCTCGAAGAGCATTGACTCTTTGTACTTTCCTCTCCGAAAGGGAGGTTTATCTTGCTTTCACCTCATTTAATCTCCTAAAAGTAAGTGAATGTGGGTTCAATTGTGTGATTTTGTCACTCTTTGTTTGTGCTTTTGTTACTCGGCTCAGAGAAAGTCCGACGTTTGCACAGAGCTAAACGACTAAACCAGGTCTGATCAACCGTGGTTTTATCCGAAGTTTACACCGAAATTATCCAGACACCAGTCTGAAGCAGTCGTGCTTAACATTTAATCCTGAATGATAGGAGATGGGTGATGATAGTTTCCCTGCTGGAAACATTAAACTAACTGGAATAATAATGATCAGAACTCAGATGAGTAGGTTCAATTGGAAAGTTTACTTTGTAAAGTGCCTTGATACGACTCCTGTTGTGAATTGTATAGATATTTATATGGAATATAAATAACCCGAGGAGCTCTGGCGTCTATATTAATATAGAATATAAATAAACTGAATAGAATTTAATTGAATATCAGAGTTGGACTATAGCAGTATGGGGCGTCTGTAAAACAGCCAACATGTAACTTCTCTCTTTTTTTTTGTATCAGATGAAGGTTTGGAAACATCATATTTGATGATATTTTCCAGTATCGTACATTTCATAAAACTTGGGTCACATTTAGTGAAACTGTTGACTCCAGCCAGACTGACTTTGTCAACTTGCATCATGTTTTTCATCATTGCCTAAATCTCTTGACCATAAATGAGAGTTTGAGTGTCGATTTGTTGACAAACTGAGAGCTCATTCAATTCGTCACGTGAGAAGAAACCCCTAAAATAGGCTATGTACCCCTTTTAGCCGAGAACCCAATCCTCAGATTGATAACGTTTATGTATAGTGTAGTTTTGATCAGTTAGGACATTTGTGACACTCTTCTATCTGAGAGGTTCGTGGAGTTTGTACTGGGGTTTTATGAAAAATCAAAAAGACAGAGACTGCTGCCCCGAGTTTATTTAGCTCACGTCTTCCTGAACTGCCATCGTGCGAGTGACTGGCACGCTTTCCCACCCAGAGCTCTTCTACTCACATCTATCACCTCAGATCTGGTGATGAGTGGATGAGGAGCCGGTAACGGGAGGTCATTCCATCCCACACGTAATGGCAGCTATGTGATGGGATTCAGCTCTTTGTCTAACGAGGAGCTAGAAACAATCAAACCATCAACGGATTCTAGTTTCTGCATAAACACTAAAATAACTCTGAATTGCTCATTACCAAAGCAGGTGATGTGAGTTTTGTGTTGTTGAGAGTGCATTTATCATCCATAACATAGAAAAGAAACACACACACACACACAAAACCTTGAATCCACCCCTTCATCCATAGAGAACAACAACCGGCCACGAGCAGAACACAAACGTGAGAGAATATTATCTTTCTTTCCCTTTTCCAATCTGCTTTCAAGAAATGTTGAAATTTGTTATGAACTTCATTAACTACAGATTTTTGCTGAAGTCATGGCTTAAATTATGAATGAGGAAGAACCCCCCACCCCCACCCCCACCCCCACCCGGCTCCTCTGGGAGAACAGGTTGCAGTGCCTCGACTCTGACTGGAGCCCTCTACCGGGTGGGTGGTTTATCTGACCACTAATGTGAGCCCATGAACAGGATTTACACAAGGCAGCATTATGGTTCACTGTGACCTTCATTAAGCTACATGATGTATAAATCTGAGGGCTGCCTCCAGCATCACTTTTGGTTATTCTCATTGTGAGACATGCCAGGACATCTTTGGAGTAGTACGGCCAAATGTCAGTTTTTAATGTGTGAGCCGGCTAATGCTAACCCTAACCCTTTAGCATTCAAATCAGTGTCTAAAAACAAAAATCATTGTTCCATCTGTTCCTGCAAAATTTTCTGTCCTATTAAAATCAAGAGCAAAGGAAAGTCCACTCACTTTAACGGTTTTACATATCACTACAATAAAAAATTATGTGGTTTTTACCAGCTCTAAAATTTTCTGAATCAGTAAGACTTTTGTTTTCGGTTCAGTTCTCTTAAGGGTGTGGGTGACTGAAAAAAACAAATTTTAAGATGTTTTTTTCTGATTATGATGGGTCACTCAGAGTTTTTCATGCAGGTTGAACATGAAAATAGTCTCCTACACCTTTCTCCTGCATTAGTTTCTGAAAAAACGCTCACTATCACTTAATGTTCACGACGGGGAAGGTTGATGTTGGTGTAGCGTCCAGGGGAAAGCAGAGCAGGTCAGAGTTAGTCATGTTGCTGTCAGCCTGTCAGAGGCAAGATGTCCAAATATCTGCAAACAAGACTCCAAATCCTGCTGCCACTTTCTCCTCCAGCTGAATTTTTGTCCTCAAACAGGTGCACCGGAGCTTTTTTTTTTCTGAGAATGACTGAATGTCTGATCATCGCCCCTCACTAGTCAAAAACTTAGTCATTTATCTTCTGCCATCAAGACAAATTTAAGGAATTTGGGTGTTGTTTTTGACCAATTAATGTCTCTTTAAGGTCACTCAAAAGCATTGGTCCAGAACAGTTTTTATCATTTACGAAATATCTCCTTGAACCGTCACCTTATCGTGGTGGAGGAGTTTGAGTGCCCTAATGATCCTAGGAGCTATGTTGTCTGGGGCACTTAGTGCCCCTGGTAGGGTCTCCCATGACAAATTGGTCTTAGGTGAAGGGTGAGACAAAGAACGGTACGAAGGATCTTTCATGGCGGTTAAAACGAAGAGTCGGAGTACCCGGCCCGGAGGGTTACCGGGGTCCCACCCTGGAGCCAGGCCTGGGGTTGGAGCCCGTGAGCAAGCGCCTGGTGGCCGGGCTTTCGCCCATGGGGCCCGGCCGGGCCCAGCCCGAACCGGATACATGGGCTCGTCCAACTGTGGACCCACCACCCGCAGGAGGAACATGAAGGGTCCGGTGCAATGCGAATCGGGTGGCAGACCAAGGCGGGAGCCTTGGCGGTCCAATCCCCGGACAAGAAAACTAGTTTTTGGGACATGGAACGTCACCTCGCTGGCGGGGAAGGAGCCGGAGCTTGTGGCAGAGGTTGAGCGGTACCGGCTAGATATAGTCGGACTCACCTCGACACATTGCATTGGCTCTGGAACCCGAGACCTGGAGAGGGGTTGGACACTCTACTTTGCTGGAGTTGCTCCGGGTGAGAGGCGGAGGGCTGGGGTTGGCTTTTTGTTAGCCCCAAGACTCTCTGCCTGTGTGTTGGGGTTTACCCCGGGGGACAAGAGGGTAGCTTCCTTGCGCCTTCGGGTCGGGGAACGGGTCCTGACTGTTGTTTGTGCTTATGGGCCAAAT